AAAAGCAATATAGTAATATGTATTATATATGCCAATATATATAAAATATATAAAAATATATATAGAGAGAGTGTGTGTGTGTGTGTGTGTGTGTGTGTGTGTGTGTGTGTGTAAAAAAGGATCCTGAAAGCAAGAAGTTTGGGAACCACTGAGATATACATATACATACATACATATCCATACACACATTATATATATACATACATATATATGTACATACATAGAGTTATCTATATAGATATATATGTGTGTGTATTTGTACAAATATATGTGTATGTTTGTTTACCTATTTCAGTGGTTCTCAAACCTTTTACTCTCAGGACCCTTTTACACTCATAATTCTCCCACCAAGAACTTTTCGTTTACGTGGATTTTATCTATCGATTTTGACTGTATCAGAAATTAAAGCATATTAATATTATTATGAAAACAGTTTTGACCTTGCGGGTCCTTTGAAAGGACCACTCTTTCAGAACAGATACATTTTGAATACTGACGCAGAAAGAGCGATATTTTACTTTGGCACTGACAGAATGGATCCTGCGACACGACCCCAGGGAATAACAACGTCGCACTTTCCTTGAGTTACATGGACAAAGGACTGATAATCGGAGATCACATTTCCAAAGCACCTGACAGATTCTACAATGCTTTCCTCACAATGACCTGGCCACAGAGGACAGAGGTGGTCTCTCACCGTGTTCTCGCGTCTCTTCGGAAGGGCCATTCTCCCTGGCCACGGAGCAGCTTTTGGGGGGCATCGCTAGGCCCTATCCAGCCCTTCACCTCCTTCTCTCAGTTCTCCCTCTCACCTCTGACCATTCCCTTCTCAGCCTCTTCAGCTCGTTTATCATCCATCTCCACCTACAAAGCTCTGTCCTGGGCCCCACTCTCTTCTCCCTCAGCGATGTCATGTCCTTCTCAATCATCATCTCTACACAGATGACTGGCAGGTCTCTGTCCGGCCTTCATCTCTCCAGAATCTAACATGGTGTCCCCACCTCCCTCCAACTCGATGCCCTGCCGGCGGCTAAAATTCAACATGTCCAAAATTGACCTCATCTCCTTCCTCACCAAACACACATCCTCCTCTAAACTGCCCTATTTATGTAAAGGCCACTAATCTTCTAGTCAACCAGGTTTGCATCCTTGAGAAATCACTCTGGCTCCTAAGTCATACCCCACCCTCGATCAGCTACCAAGTCTAGGTAATCTCTCACATCTCTCCCCTTCTCCAGAGTTCCGTGGCTACTGCCTCAGTTCAACCCACCACCACTGTGAATCCTGTAGGCCAGAAAGGTGCTTCCTCCTCAGGGAGCTTCTCAGAATTCTTCAGACTTCTGTGATGTACCACCTCCTCCATAAAACATACCCCGGTTCTCCCTCACTACCCAACTGTTAGGGCTCTCCTTCTTCTACAGAAGTCTTTTCCTGTGTCCATGTTGTAGCTTACCATTAGACTATAAACTCCCAGAGGGCAGGAAGAGCTTCCATTTTTGCCTCTATGCCCAGCACCCAATTTAGTACTGTACAAGGAAGGTGCTAAACCAATGTTTACTAAACAAATCCATTTTACAGATGAGGAAGTAGACCCAGAGAAGTGTCTCATGCATGACTACACAGCTGGTAGGTGGCAAAGCTGGTAAGGGTGTGTACAAACGCCTTTTTTACTCCACAGCCAAGTAAACTATATCTCCACACCAGAAGAATGTGCCTTTGCATGGCATGACCAGCCTGATGCTGGTCAAATGCTAAAACCCCCCAGACAGGAGTGTGGCCTGGGGCCCCTTCCCCAGAAGCACTGTACCTTCAGTGTCGCACACGCCGTGTAGTTCACATTGGGCAAGATCTCCACAGGCTCTTTAAACATGACCCGGAATGTATTAGAGGACCCATCACAGCTGAAGCCGGTGTCATTCTGACCCAGGACTGTGTTACTATCAGTGTGGATGATCTGACAAGCAGAGGAGGAGAAAGAATGGATTTTCTGCATGGAAAAGCTCCACAGGTGGAGCTTGTGAGAAATAACAGAACTGGCATTTTGACCATCTGTCCCCTCTGTTCTACAGGACAAATGCTGATTATGAACAATTTTACCAAGTGATATCTCAAAACTCCCTAAAGGACAGTTTAAAATCCATTTTTCTTTGAAAAGAGCACATGTCTTGCGTGTCTCTTCATAAAATAAAGGAGCTGGCTTAATCTCTAAGATCCTTTCCCTTGCATATGCAGACTATATAAATACATGCAAGAACTCCAATACAAAAACTCACTACTTTTGCTAATTTCGACAACTCAATAGATAAAAGCATCAGCTCACATTCCTAGAGCAATTCAAAGTGCTTTGATCACAACAATTCTGTGATGTGTGGAACAAAAGAATTATCATTCACATTCTGAAGATGAGGAAACAAATCTAAAGGGCTTATAAGACAGGATGTACAAAGGGCGAGTTCTAAGGGTTTCACGCACAATTTGGGGGGGTACCAGCTACAAAGTCAATCTCTGATTTGATTTCAGTGGAGGTAAACTGATACCAAGTAGTTTACTTCTTTTTTCTTTTCTGAGGCAGTCAGGGTTAAGTGACTCGCCCAGGGTCACACAAGCTAGTAAGTGTCCGAGACTGGATTTGAACTCAGGTCCTCTTGACTCCAGGACTGGTGCTCTATCCACTGTGCCACCTCGCCAAGCCTGTTTAATGTATCTGTACAACCACACAGAGTGCAGATGAAGCAAGGCTGATACCTGTATGTTGACTTGATAATCCGTTGGTCCATGTATTGATCCATATAATCCAAACCCAACCACAAATATCCTCTTGTTAACTGAGAACCTGAGGAGATAAGAGAGTTAAACTATTCTGCTATCCCAGGGCCTAGTGCATAATCATGGAAGGGAACAAAAAGCATTCTCCTGGCTGAAGAACATCCCCAAAAAGCACCTTCTTCAACAGTTTGCTCATTCGTTGGGCCCAGCCTTACAAAAGGTCAGGGTTTCTGTTCGAGTAAGACGTCCCCCCTTGTTCTACACACTTATTTGACTGTCCCAGTAGATGGGGTGAGCTTATTTACTTATTTCTTAAAAGTTCTAACACTGACCAGAAAGACAAAGCAAAGGACACCCCCCCAAGCCTGTCCAGCCGGTGTGGCACCAGGGTGCTGGGGCTCAGTCCTCCAATAAAGCATTTATTTGGGGAAGGAACTTTGCTCCTCCCCCTCTCTAGGACCTATGGAGGATAAAATCCACCCAGTGAGACAGAACAATTGCTCTAGATTAGAAAAGCTTTAGATCTGTATCTAACGAAAACTACTTTGAAAATGTTTTGTAGCTGTATGCAGAGCTATGAGATGTGGAGATGTTTGCTTCCATCACAAAGAACGTCCCCTGAATGCTGGGCTTTTAGAGCTCTGTTTTTAAAAAAATGTTTTCTGATTCTGGCCTTCTCATTTATTCTTCCAGTAATGGCCCTTGGAGGGAGTGCTGGAGAAAAAGAAGGAAGGCGTGAAAAAGAAAGACTTCAGCCCCCTTCCAAATTTTAGTAGGACTAGCCCCACCTAAGAGCTTCTGCATTTACCCAAGGTGAACAAGTGTGACCCTTATGGAAACTGCAAAGCTCCCTTACTTTCCCCAAAATGAAGGGTCACAACATACTCGTAACCCTTCTATTCTATGGGTGTCGTATCCCACGTCCTGCAGTCGTACGATGACTGCTGTGCCTGTCACGCACAGAAACATAGAGAGGCACCTGGAGGGAGAAACAGGCTGCAACACATGAGGAACTTCAAAGGACTCAGATACTCAAGGAACTAAAAGAGATCATCAGGTGTGACAGGAGAAGAAGGTATGCTGGTCACGCGTCAGGTGTTGACGAGGGCACATATGTGAGGTGCCCTTGTAAGGGGAGGAAAAACTGCACGAAGCCTCGAACCTATGGTCTCCAGCCTGGCACCGAGGGAAGGTGTGGACCAGAATGACAAGGATGGGCTGCCTTCCTCCCTCCATCAGGCCCATGTGAGGACTGAGTAACGAGGAGGCAAGGACAGAGCCTTCCACGGCACATGGACCTTTCCCCGAGGTGAAGGGAGGGGCGGCAAAATGATTTTACTCAATAGTCAGAATGAAAACTGACACAACACACAGGCTCATCAGTGCTGACAGAATTGTGAAGCCCACCTGATTCGGTCACTAGTCCCGCTGTAGCCCCAGCGGCTCTCCACCTGCTGAAAGCGGTTGATACTACACTCCTTCCCTCGAAGGCAGCAGCGAGGTCTGTCAATGAACTCCACTCGAGGCTTTGGGTTCACGGTAAAGTGGAGAAACAGACTGACCACCTCCCGGTCAGTGAGGATGCCCGACTGAGCAGGCCCTGGAGCAGAGAACAAACATAGGGAGGACGTGCTGAACACCCTAAGAGAACCTCCTCAAGCCCTGTGGCGTGGCTGTCACTGGCCAGAACTAGCCTCAGCCTCCAGGTAACACAAGATACACAACTCTCTGGGCCTGATCTAGGCTCAGAAATGAAATATTCAGATAGGAACCACTTTCAAATTTTCAATTTTCCAGGAACAATAATTTCTCTAATGTACTTTTAAAACATCAAGATACAGGGAGGGAGATAGGTGGGAAATATCTCTTTTTAATTTCCTTTCAAAAAGGTACTAAGACAGAAGTTTAATATTCTAGAACAATTCTACAGGGTGTAAGTGAAGGAATTAAAAATATTGTTGTGAAGTTGTGAACTGATCCAACTTCTATGCCCAAAGGGCTATAAAAATGTGCATACCCTTTGACCCAGCAATAGCACTTCTAGGGCTGTATCTCAAAGAGATCATAAAAATCAGAAAAGGACCCACATGTACAAACATATTTATAGCAGCTCTTTTTGTGGTGGCAAACAATGAGAAATTGAGGGGATGCCCATCAATAGGGGAATGACTGAGCAAGTTGTGGTATATTAATGTAATGAAATACTATTGTTCTATAAAAAATGATGAGCAGGCTGACTTTAAAAAAACCTGGGAAGACTCACATGGTCTGATGCTGAGTGAAGTGAGCAGAACCAGGAGAACGTTGTACACAGCAACAGCCACATTATGCAATGACTAACTTTGATAGACTTAGCCTTCTCAGCAATGCGAGGATCTAAGACATCTCCAAAGGTCTCATGATGGAAAATGCTATCCACATCCACAGAAAGAACTATGGAGTTTGAATGCAGATCGAAGCATACGATTTGCTATTTTTTTTCTTGTTTCCTCTTTCTTGTGGTTCCTTCTATTGGTTCTAATTCTTACTTACAACATCACTAATGTGAAAATATATTTAATAGGAATGTATATGCATAGCCTATATTAGATTGCATGCCAACTTGGGGAGGGAGGGGGAGAAAAATTTAAAACTCAAAAGCTTATGGAAGTGATTGCTGATAAACCAAAATAAATTAATTAAAAAAATAAAATTCAATTACCACACAATCATCTAAGGAACAACAACAAATGGATAGTATTTCAATCTGCCTTTATGAACAAGTTTGCTTGTAACAGTTACTTGTTCTGGTAAGTATATACTATACACACGTGTGTGAACACAAACACATACAAACACATATACGTAAATACATGTCTTTGAGTAAAGAGAAAAGGGACAGGAAAAGCCTCATAAAGCCTCATTTATCTGGTATCATCAGGGAAAATGTTTCATGGATGTAAATTTCCTAAATACGTGAAGTGCCATTTTAAAAATCTTTTAAAGTGTCTTTATTCCTTTATTTTTTTTGGGGGGGGGGGGCTAGGCAATGGGGTTAAGCAACTTGCCCAGGGTCGCACAGCTAGTAAGTATTATGTGTCTGAGGCCGGATTTGAACTAAGGTGTCTTTCTTTAAAGACCATTTTTGAAGGATATTTTTCTAAACTGTATTTCATCTTACCCTTCCTTCTCAAGCAGGATTCAGAGCAACAGGCATTCCTTTCTCAATGACTCAGGGTCAGCATTTTGAAGAGTAATTTACAAGACTGTAATAGAGTCAGGTCCTCAGAGTCTCCTGAGGTGCACAGCTGCTAACGGTACTGAAGACCCCAAGACTATGGTACTGGCTGTGTGTGTGTAAGCTATTTCCTACCTTTCCTAGCTTTTCTGCCTCCTGCCCATCTTGTCCTCACTCTTCAACAATGTGCACTTCACCAGTGACCTCAACCACTCATTCAGTTTATCTCTGGGAACCTCAGATGCCCCTTTGAGTTAAGCAGAGACAACTTGCACACGGGCTTCCTGGGAGGAAAGAATTTTGTGAACCTTCCACTATGAGAAACAGGAGCAGTTATTCACTGAGTGTCTGAATACGCCCCAAGGCCTAGGCTAGCCACCATGGGGTGTGCAAAGACGAACAATATGCCTCTAAAATACAGTCTCTATCACAGAAACAGAATTTTTCATGGGAAATAATCATTTCAAACAGCAACTGAAGTATAATATTCCACAGTGAAGATCCAAGTGTTACACAAGATGAATGCAGATGGCTCACTGAGTACAAAGAGCACTGGAAAGAGAACTCAGATCAGAAGGTCGCCAGAAATATCTGAATTTCATGGGAAAGTAAGTGAAGATGCTTCAAGCTTTCAGTAACCAACTGATCTCTAAAAACCTCAACCTGTTCTCTGTGTGTGCGCATGTGTGTGTAAAATAGAACAAAGTCCTATCTATAGGAGATGACTATTATAAACATAAACCTGGAAACAGAAGAGACCTTAAGAGAGGAAAAGGGAAAGGTCACCCTGTCAACATGACCCAGATGAACAGCTCTAAAGAAGTGATTATCAAGAGCCATCCTGACCTGAAACCAGCCCCTCAACAAGTCAAATACAGCCTTTGTGTAATGAATAAACCAGTCTGAGCCTAATATGTGAAACATATCATTCAACCACCAACACTTACTAAGCGTCTAGAATGTGCATTATTAACAGCAAACTCTCGTTGCTGGTAACATTAGATGGGTCAGTCACAAAGTGAGAGAAGGGGGCACCAGATGGACAAGCTCAACACAACACTGATAGGTACACCCACAAGGTCACAACGGACAGCCTCTAGTCCATGGATGGGCTCTCCATGGAGGATCTGTGGAGTGAGGGGGCCAAAAACCACAAACCAGGAAAAGGTGTGGTGCCCACACCAGGGGCAAATGTGCCCCTGAAATGGACATGCGGTCCACCAAGTTTAGAAGGCAGCCTGTGTCCCCCTCTGCATGTGGCCCTGGGGGCGCTGCTGAGGTGATGAAGCACAGTGCGACTCTGGGGTGTGTGGGATCTAGTGACCTCTGAGGAGCTCATGTTCCTCTCTTTCAGGAATTAACCACTCGCCAGGTTGCTGGTTTTGTGCCAAAGTCCTCCCAGGTCTTCCCTGTCTTAAAAAAGTTTTTAAATATGCTATAGACCAAGAGCAGTGCGTTACCTGCAGCAAATTCTTCAATTGTCATCAGTGGGAAACGAATGAGAGAAAGGGCTTTGCCCAGCACTTTCCGTTTGTTTTCTGGAGTCACTGGAAGCTGCTGCCGCTGACACTCTGCTTCTGACCAGCGGACCACGGCGTTAAATAAGCGAACCTCTCGGATGCCCAGGGTGTCCCGCTCCAACACGGCAACAAGTGTGTCTAAAGTAAGAAACAAGAACCGTGTCACTGAGCCACGGGAACGCCACGTTCACGTACGTTTCACGTTTCACTTCTTTTTAATCCATTTTAATTGAAGGAGTTGGTCCTTTGAGAGGATGAGGCTGCCGTGTACTGTTCAGGGTCCCTCACATACTCTAACCAAAGGCCTAGTGCTGAGATCGCTGGGACGGCGGCTGGGAGATGACCATCCGAGTACATGAGGTCTCCCTCGAGGCTGAGTTTGCCATCGCCACATGACCTCCCGAGGAGACAGCAGCACCATCCCTGCTTGCCTGTTGTCTTCTATGGTTACCAGTTCATGCTTTGAGGCAGGGAATGCATACCAAGTCAGCACAGAGCTACCCCCAAGCCAAAGCTGAACCAATTTAAGTTCAATTTAGGACCAATAATTTACTTCTAACTCACAAACCCTGAAGACTACAAGTTCCCAGAGACCATGGGCATGAGTCTCTATCTTCCCACACTGTCATAACTTTTTAACTAAAAATGACTGACAATTTACATATAAAACTCTGGATTTTCTGTTTTTGTTGTTACTTTTGTTTGTTTGTTTGTTTTTTTACCAGCTGATAAAACCCCAGATATACCTGCTTGGGGCCAAAGGCAGGTTGGGGCAGACGATAACCCTGACTGTGAAAGTAGCTAATGGTACTTTATCAAAAGGTGGTGAGCATGTTTGGGCCACAGAAACATATTCCACATCGGGTCACCAAGAGGGTAAAGGTGTTTCAAGAGCCAACATTACCTAAATCAATGTCTGTGAAACCCTCTGCATTAATAGCATCTGATGTGTTTTTATCTATATTCTCCAAGCACAGGCTGGCCAGTTGGGGTTCATCAAACAGTCTTGCCTAAGAAAAACAAGAAATAAAGAATTAATGTGTTAGTGTTTTATTGATGCTTTTTGTCCTTAAATCTCAGTGATTTCAAATCCTGCCTTCCCCCATATAGTAAAACTTCTCTTATGACAAAGAAAAACAATAAAGCAAAAACTTCTGACACGGTGAGCACAGCTGCCAACATATACAGTGGCCTGCCCTAGGAAGCTCTGCCTATTTGCCTTAAGGGTAGATGTAGGTTTCACTCTTGTACCTCTAGATTTTTAAAAAACCAATCATTTATACATTATATCATTGCCCCCAAAGTTCTAGAGTACATGCTTTTCACAAATGACTGACCAATGTATGCAAGCCAAAGGTTAGAGGCATAAAGCAGTTTTCAACTTCAGTAGTGAATCATTCAGGAAAAGCAAAATAAGCAAACAGAAATACTCTTATGCCTTGCCTGCCATTTTTAGATAAATCACATACTCTATTGGGATGTGGGAAATGACAGCAATGCCACACTGGAGGGATGACTCTAGAGGAAAGGACCCATGTTCCTCTCTTGGGATTTATAGTTTTGATTAAATCATGATAATCAATCTTATCCAATAATCTTTCTAAGTCTTTCAGTAACAATCATGATGATACATAGCTTCCATATTCCGACACGTGACAGTTACAGCTCACAGAACACTTTCCTCATAATGACCCCTTTATACCAGGTGGTGCAATTATTATCTCCTCCTTTTTACAGATAAGGAGACTAAAGGGAGATAGTAAGGGATGTGGTCCAAGGTCACTGAGTATCAGTACCAGAATCAGAAGAGGTCTCTTTAGGACTTCACATCCAGGGCGTAACCCACATCACACAGCTGTTTCTAATGTTTCTAATCAATGGGCCAGGTTGCCTCCTTACTAAAGCATAAAAAGGGAACAACTAGAATAAATTGAAACGCGCCTGACAGAAAACTAAACTTGGAAGGGCAGAGAATAAAAGCAGCCTGTTTCTAACAGCACTTCAGAAATGGTGCAGAAGAGCCAGGCTCATACCTCGAGTCCTTTGCTCTTCAGAAAGGTGTGATCAGGTGAAATGGTCTGTGACTTGCTTGTGTTCTTGGTGGGAGGGTAAGGGGAGAGTTAGTGGTGGACACTGATGTGATGGACGTTTGTTGCTAGATAGGTGTCTTTTGCTGTCTGATCTATAAAGTGGAATTATTAGATTTTGCCTCCAAGAAGCCCCACTTTCTCTCCCCTCCTAGCAAAAAGTATAACAAAGTAAATGACTTTAACAAGTGAAAAGCAAGGGCTTTTTGTTTTGCTGTGAATGACAGGAGAGAGGACAGAGTTTAACTGAGCATAACTCAAAAGAACAGCAAGTAACACAAATCCAAATAGGGAAAGTGGGGAAAAAAAAACTCCATCACAAATGCCTTAAAGACCTTTCAGTTGAGTAGCACAGATCCTGTATTTCCCTTCAAGAGCCTCTTTTCAAGAGTCTACACGCTCATCAACAATACAGAGTACTTGACTTCCAAGAAACCAATAAAACCACTTCTCTGCAACTGAATCAGAAAACTACTTCATTTCAAAGTTAGGGAAAGGACTGAGAAAGAAACTGTAAAGAAGGTGAATTTTGGTGTATGTGAAGTGGATTTTTTGTTATTCTTCCTTAGAGTTTTATTCCCAGGATCCATAGCCATAAGAATCTCTACTTCCCAGGTATTAGATATGCGTTCTCACAATGATGGCTCAAAACAGTTTCTACCATGCTTGCCCAGTAGATATAGGGATGAAGTGATATAAAATTGTGAGGCTATATGCCTTCTTTGTCTGTTGCCCTAGAAAGCAAATGGGCACTGGTCAGCGACTGGGGACAACTTGATCGGCCCCATCAAGGCTTGGGAGGGGGAATCTGTGTGTCTGCCTCAACTGGCCCCCATTGAGGCTTGAGGGGATTTAGGGGAGTGCACAAGTTGTGCCGGTCTCAACTGACTCCATCAAGACCAGGGGTACTTGCCCCCCCTTCACCCTGGCCCCTGTGAGAAGGGTTGTTAGGGAATGCTATAGGAGTGGGAGCTCCCATTATCATCAAACTCCCTTTGAGAAGGCTAGACTAAAGTAAGCTTATGTAACCTCTTATTATGACTCCATGCCTGCCTTCCCGTCTGACCGGATCAAAAGTGAACCTGCTAGTGAGAGAGGTGCTAGAAGGCCTCCTGTGTCTCCTTCCTAAGAAATGGCGTAGTTGGTGTGTTTACTTGTTCAACAGAGACTTAAACAGTTTTCTATAATCCATACTAGTCACCAATTCATACAGAGAACTCAATTCTATGGCTTCGACAAAGCATTTTTACAGGCTAAAAATGTAATGATTTTGTTTCAAAATAGGTTTATTTCACAGCACTGAGTTCTACAGTTTTTCAATCTGTAAAATAGATAAGATAGAGAGATACATAAGATAGATAGATAGATAGACAGATAGATAGATAGATAGATAGATACGGGTGGAGGGAGTTTGGATGGACTCAGAGATCTGGGACCTCCGACATTCTACAGTCTCTGTCCTAAGCTACCTTTCAAGCTCTGACCTTCTGTTTCAAGGTCCTTGGGAGGTCTGACAGCCTGGCACTATCAATCAAGGGATAAGCATTAAGTGCTTACTACATGCCAAACCCTGTGCCAGAGACAAAAGTGAACCAGTCCTAGAACTCTAGGATTGCCTGTTTTATTGGAGCACACAAACATTCACATATCTAGACAGACACAAATGCAGACAACATACAAAGCAGTTTTCTGAGAAAGAATGTACTAGTAGCTGTGAGAATCAGGGAAGGCTCCACGAAGCAGGTGGTACCTGAGCTGAGTTTTGTTTAAGGGTCACAGGTGAGGAGGGAGGGCAATTCAGGTGGGGAGGTGTAGCCAGTACAAAAGCTTGCACATGGAGAACAGAGCACTGTACGTGAGGGACAAACTCTATGAAATTCAACATATGGAATACAGCTGGTCAACAGATATTTGGTGGTCTGATAGTTATATCCAAGTTCAATGTGCCATTATAACGTGTGATGTGACATCAAGAGTTACTTGTATGTACCAAACTGGCATAGAGATCTCACACAAGTGTGTAAAAATGTCCCTGCAGAGTTGAGTAGCAACAAAATAGATCCTATGTACAAACAAGTCAAGGTGAAACCCATTGTCCTCCACAGGAAGAAGACTCTCCAGGCCCAAGGTGACTGTAACTCTGAAAGGCCCCTCCCTCGGGTTTGTTGGCATAGCTGCTCTCGCAGGACTTCCAGATTGCTCAGACACCTAGGCTCCCTAAAGAATACAGTAACCTGCTAAGGAAGGAAGCTAGGGTCCAGGGTCAGAAGTACAGTTTTATAAACAAGTGTCCTGTGATGTCAGTAGCACTGAGTATTTTCAGCATGTGTCAGAAGGACCCGAGTTCAAATCCGATCTCAGACCAGACACCACTTGACACTTACTAGCTGTGTGACCCTGGGCAAGTCACTTAACCCCAACTGCCTCGCCTATTTAAAAAAAAAAAAACAGCTTTGGAGTGAATATAACAATTTCTAAAATATAAATCATACTTGGGACCTGATTTTGGACATATTTTGTGCATTTAGCTGTTCTGGATTATAATTATGTAATCTAAGCAAATCTAAGGTCAAAGCAGTCCTAGCACGGTATTTCAATGATGAAATGGTATTGGTTACTATTATTCCTATTCCTTTTTTTGGTTAGACCATAATAAAGTTGCATTTCAAATATCCCCAAAAAAGAAAGAAAAGGCTACTGCAATAATCCAGGCAAAAGGTCCTTTGATAAGGGTCCATGCACCTGGATGGGAACTCTATGAGAGAAGGGGTTGTGAGTAATGCTGTAAAGCTCCGCCTAGAAGGCTCTCCCTGCCCCACCCCTCATCTCTGCCTCTTAGCTCCTGACTTCCTTTGAGCCCACCTTCCCCATGAAGCCCCCACTGATCCCCTCTGCTGATTATCTCCAAACTACCTTGCGTATATCTTGTTTGTACACTGTCGTTTGTATGTTCTCTCCCCCGTTAAATTGTTAGCTCCTTGAGGTCAAGGACCATCTTTTGCCTTTCTTTGGTTCCCCAATGCTTAACACAGTGACCAGCACAGAGTAAATGCTACCTTGCCTTAATTTGAAGAAGTAGAAATTGCAAGATTGGGTAACTGATTAACTAATTAGATACAAAAGTTAAAGAAAGTGAGGAGTCGAGGGTGATCCTAAGATTTTGCAGAGTTGAGAAGAGGATTTTAGTTTAAGGGCAGAGACATGTTGAATTTGAGATGCCTTTAAAGAAACTCAGGAGAGAGATTAGGGGCATCATACACAGATCCAGGAGTCATCTATATAGAGATGGTAACAATCCATAGGACTGATGAGATTGTCAAGTGAGAAAACGTACAAAGAAAAGAGGGCCCAGGATAGAGCCATCAGCTATACCCACAGTAGGCATAACATGGATGAAGATCCAGAAAATAAGACTGAGAAGGAGCAGCCGGATAAGTAGGAGAAACAGGGGAAGGCAGTATTACGAAAAATCAAAGAAAAGCAAGTAATTCAAAGTTAATCAATAGTGTCAAATATAATTAAAATTAATATTTGGCAATTAGGAGATCAATAGTAACTTTAGAGAGAGGAGAAGTTTAGATGATGAGGTTGGAAACCAGACTGTTAAAAAGAGAGGAAAAGAAGTGGAGGAACCTATTATAGATGGCCTTCTCAAGGAAATTAGCCACAGAAGGGATAACAAAATAATCCAACCAATAGCTGGTGTTCTTAATCTCCAAGAACCTTTAGCCCAACTAGAGAGTTATTCCACTTACCTTGGGTACTCCTACATCTGCTGATTGGTAGGTGAGTGAAAACTCATCTCAAGCTATTATATCTAGCTGACCTCAATCCCTTCTTGTCATCTCATCCAGTAATCCATTAGACCACTAGAGCCTAGCCAGCATGGGCACCTTACCATGTGCCCTCCTGTCTCACATATA